CCTAGCACGGCGCAACGCAGGAGCTAGCCGGGGTCTGAGGCTTTGCACTCACCGCCTCGGAGCCCGCCGGCTGCCCACGAAGCGCTCCCCCGCCACCGCCGTGGTACGGTTCGCCCTGACCAATAGGAGCGGCCAGTCACCTTGGCACCGCCCCTTCGGTCGAACCATTTTTTCGGGGGGAGCACGAAAGAGTGGGGCGGTGCGGCGCAAGGGCGGCGAGGGGGCGGGGCTAAGTCGCCCAGCTGCAGATGGCAGGGTCTTCAGGCGAGGTCTGACCTAGCGCCACTCTACATACGGATAGGGGTGGGGGTAGTGAGACCCAGAATGGACTGGCTCGCCCGAGCTCACTGGCTGGTTGAAGCAGACGAACCCGGAAGTGGAGCCTTCTGGGACTCAACGATTGTTAGGGCCCTCCTTTACCAGGACTGAAGGGGAGGGGAGGCAGTTCAAGCTGGGAGCCCTAGGGTGGGCATTCCAGAGGCAGTGACACCTGAACTGTGTCTTTAAGAGCGCGCAGAGGGGGCACGCCAGTTCGCAGGGACCGGCCCCTAGAGCAAAGGCCCCCGAGGAGCGACAGCTTGGGGTCTTCAGGGGCCTACAATTCCTTCTCTGTTATGCAGCACAAAATGTGAGAGGAGGCCTTGTAAACCAGCTGAGGGTTATCAGCAGGGGAGGAAGGGGATTAGATTTTGCCATCGAGTGGCACAGGACTGCCGAGTGGAGGGGAGCAAGATGAGTCAGGGGAGACCATGACCATGGGCCAGGTAAGAGGGAAGGTCTGTGTCAGTGGAGATGGAAGAAAGAAATGAGCTTAACAACTCTGGAAATGAAGTTGGTAGGGCTTGATCGCTTCTTCCTGGAATACTCTTTCCCCCTTTACCCTATCCCCACTTTCCCCTTATTTGGCTAACATCCTTTGCATGTCTAGTGGGCAGTTGAGCATCCAGGTCTGGAAGCTCAGCTCCAGTCTGGAGGTAGAGCTGGGAGTTGTCATTCATTCAGATATTTTGTTGGCACTTGTATGTGCCAAGTTCTGTAGTGACCATTAGGGATATGGGTAGAAACAATGGTCCCACTCCCCAGCTTAGGGATCTCACTGGAGAGTCTACAGAAAACCTCTAAGAATTGATAAAATCTCACAGGGAGAGAGAATAGAGTAAGATAAGGCTAAAGACAGAGCCCTGGAGATCACCAAAAGCAAAGGGTAAGCAGAGGAAGAAGAAAGCAAAAAGGAAAAGAAACAAAAGAGAAAAGAGGCAGCATTGTGCAGTGATTAAGAAAAACTTGAGCTGGACTGCCTGAGTTCAAAGCCTGGCTCCTGCTACCTACTAGTTGTCTGATCTTGGGCAGGTTACTTAAAATCTCTGTAACTTAGTTTTCTTACCGGTAAAATTGAATGGACAAAAGCACCTACCTCATAGTACATACCTTCATTTTGATGAGATTAGATGTGTTAATATTTGTAAAGCAGTTAGTGCCCCACATGGTGAGCATTTTACGTGATGGTTATATATATAAAACACAAAGGAACTGGAAAAGAGTACCCTCATACGTTTTTGACCTTAAAGAAGGAAACTGAGGCTGGGCGAAGTGGTCATACCTGTAATCCCAACGCTTTGGGAGGCTGAGGCAGACAGAACACTTGAGTCCAGGTATTCGAGACCAGCCTGGGCAACATGGTGAAACCCCATCTCTGCAAAAAGTACAAAAATTAGTCAGGAGTAGGTGCGCACACTTGTAGTCCCAGCTACTCAGGAGGCTGAAGTGCGAGGATCGCTTGAACCTGGGAAGTGGAGGTTGCAGTGAGCCAACAGAGCAATACCCTGCCTCAAAAAAAAAAAAAAAAAAAAAAAAAAAAAGGGCTGGCCGCAGTGGCATACGCCTGTAATCCCAGCACTTTGGGAGGCCAAGGCGGGCAGCCAGATTTCCTGAGCTTAGAAGTTCGAAACTACCCTGGGCAACATGGTGAAACCTTGTCTCTACTAAAATACAAAAAATTAGCCGGGCGTGGTG